TTTAAGCTAATGAAAAGAAATTCTGATGCAACATTCATGGAGACAGAAATCCCCTATGTACTTATAAAAAAAAGGATATATAATTTATGCTGATTATACATAAATATTCCGAATAATAAGATGTAGATATACTTTCAAATAATTTAGAATTTGAGAAATGAAGATAGATTTGGCTAAATTTGTATCATCTTAGGAAAACAAGTAACTCTGATGCTGTTTAGCTGCTAATAACTAGGACAGGTGAAGTGAGAAGTGGTTTTTGAAGTAATAATCAAGACTAATTTTGAACTATAATGAAAGCATTTTTGAAAATTATTATTATTGCAGCACTCAAGAGTAAAGCTAGGGATTAGGTGTGGTGGCACACGCCTGTAGTCCCAGCACTTAAGAGGCTTAGGTAGGAAGATTGCCTTGAGTTCGAGGCCAGCCTGGACTACATAGTGAGACCCTGTCTCAAAAAAGAAAAAGAAAGAAAAAAAGGGTGTAGCTAAGGGTTTTCACACTGAGCTATATTTCCAGCCAGCCAGCCAACCAGCCAGCCAGCCTGCCTTCCTTCTTTCTTCCTTCTTTCTTGAGACAAAAAAGTCTAAGTTGCCCAAATTAGGCCTGAACTTGTGATCTTCTTGCCTCAGCCTTCTGAGTGCTCAGATTAAAGCTGTGAGCTTAGTTTGAAAGTTATTTCTTTGAGATATATATATATATTTTTTTTCTTTTTTTTTAAATTTTTTTTTTGGTACCGGGGATTGAAATCAGATCCTTGTGCTTTCAAGGCAGGTGGAAGAACCACTGAGCTAAATCCCGGGACCCCTGGCCCTCTTTGATATATCTTTAAATCAATTAATTCAAGAGGACCAGACTGAATAGTTTTAGATTTTGTATTTATTTTGTGCTAATCATATCTAAAAATATCAGCTAAATTCTGAAAATCTAAGACTACATGGACTTTTATAATATTAAATCCTCAAGTTGAAATAAAATATAATTTAAAATAATGAAGGGAGGGCCGGGGATTTAGCTCAGTGGTTCCAGCACCTGCCTCATGAGTGAAAGGTCCTGAGTTCGATCTCTGGTACCAAAAAAAAAAAAGAAAAAAAAATAATGAAGGGAAGGTGAAAATTACATGATAGAACTTATGTGAAAGAGTAAATGTTTCCAGAGAAGCTCAGCCGGTCCCAGAACCCGGAAGGAAGCTCCCCTCCTGTAACCCAGGCTCCTAGGGCAGAGAAGGTGAGCCAGTCCCAGCACCCAGAAGGAAGCTCCCCGCCTCCATCCCAGGCTCCTAGGGCAGAGAAGCTCAGCCAGTCCCAGCACCTGGAGGGAAGCTCCCCGCCTCCATCCCAGGCTCCTAGGGAAGAGAAGCTCAGCCGATCACAGCACCCAGAAGGAAGCTCCCCACCTCCATCCAGGCTCCTAGGGCAGAGAAGCTCAGCCAGTCCCAGCACCCAGAAGGAAGCTCCTGGTCTCCATCCCAGGCTCCTAGGGCAGAGAAGCTGAGCCGGTCCCAGCACCTGGAAGGAAGCTCCCCTGCCGCCATCCCAAGCTCCTAGGGCAGAGAAGGTGAGCTGTGTGGGTGCCAGAAGCACCTGCTCCCGTGGAAATAAGAAGACATGAAAACAAGTCCCAAAAACAGACTTCCAGATCACCTACAGCAACCCCAAAGTGAAATGAGATGGAACACTCTGATACTCAACCACCTGGACTCTCTGAACTGGCAACAAAAGAGGATCTGGGAAAAATGAAATCAGAAAT